TCCTCTGAGAGAAAGGTAGAATGAGGCGAACAACATGGCCACAGCTGTGGAGGCCTTGAGGAGAAATAAGGAATGTTCTGCAGGAGAGGTCATCCTTCTGACCTCCTGTGGCCATTTCCTGCCCCATCACTGGAACATAGGAAACTACACAGGACCTGAGGTCACCATGCCTTGAACAGAGAGAATATTGCAACTCAGTCTCATCATCCTTCTGCTCAGCCATGGTAATCCATTGGGGATCCCAGCCTAAATAACTGCAGATGAACTCTCTGCATCTGCCTATACCACCTGTCCACACTGGCGTTTAGAAGACTCCATGACAGGGAGAAATCATGACAGGGTCAGCCCAACTGTTCGCCCAAAAACTATTGTAGAAAATTTTGCACGATTTGATTTCTAAGGAGAGACAGTATAAATCGGGTGAGTTGGATAAGCTGGTGTAACTACAATAGCTGAAGGAGAGATCATTGATTTTGGAAGATCTAGTGAAAGAATATAGATTTGTGTTTTCTAGATGACTCATGGGTGAAGAAAAGGCTAAAAAATATAAGCAGAAGTTGTGGAGGGATCTATACTAGATTGATAAATGGAGTTTGAAAAAATGATTTAGGTTAAAGTGTCAATGATGGATGAATTGAGTGCATAGACCCATAGTTCTTCTAGAATTCTAATTAATGCAATGTTACAGAAATTACAAAAACATATTTATAAGAATGTTACTATTTCAATAACTTCTACAAGACCCAATATAAATTGTGACATCTATCTGAAAAACCATGTCCAAAATATCTCCACTCTGTAAATTCAGGTTGATAGTTTCATGTTGGAGTATGGAAATTTTTTTAAGTGTATCTGTAGATAAGCATGTATAAGCATTAAGCTTTGATAAAGATGGAGGATTTTAGATATGTTTCATCATGATATATGTGAATGAAAGTATTTTTTCCACAAAGAAACTGCAAATCTCAAATTGGGTCAGAAATCAGACACAGTTCATGAGATGTAGCTGTGGACACTGTGCAAGCTAGAATGGAGCCAGTGGTCAGTAAATGGATGAAGCATGGGCCCAGTTACATGGGGTGGAGCCCAAGAAGGAGGCACTTACCAGTTTCAGCGTGACCTCCAAGAGCTCCTCCTCTGTCTTCTGGCGCAGGCAGTGAACCATGGTGGCGGATGTGGTGGTTTTGCACCCAGCTAGAATTGCAACTTTCTGCAGAGATCACAGGCAACCACAGAGGTGAAAAGCAATGTTCTGTCTTCCACCAACATACACGTAGGGTTCCTATTGTAAGCCCAGTTCACAAAGATGGCAGAGGTAGCTAGAAATATCCTAGGGAGGGGTGCCGCTCTGCAACCCACCAGGTGTCTAAGGGAATCTTGGCATGAGCCGGTCACGCAACATCTGCGTCTGTGTTAGCTTATCTCTGTTAAAATGGACACGATGACCGTGCCAAGCACCATCAAGGATAAAATGTGAAAAATGTTCTCAAGGCTGAATGCTTGAAAAGAAGCCATTTCAAATGAAGCCCCAGATTCCAACTGTTCTCAAACCCACTGTTCTCAAATCCACTGCTTAAACAATGGACCTCAAGCAGGCAGTCTACGCTGTGTGGTCCAGATTCCTCACTCATACATGAGGGTGATGATCCAACATATCCTACTAAGACTGAACACATGTGGAGTACTTAGACGTCCACTGGGTCCCACGCGCTAAAATGTGCGCTATTGCAGGAGGCTTGATTGCCATGGCTAATGTGAACATACAGAACGAGAATTACTTCAGAATGTGCAGAATGAGTTCAATGTGAGCCTAAAGGAGTTTTCTGCGCAGCCACCCTCACTTCAGGGACTCCTTGAGCATCCTAGCTGAATCTCACAGGAAAGTTTCTTGAGAACGTCAGGATCATGGAGGACAGGGAAACAGAGCTGTCCAGGGTGAGGCCTACCTCAGCTATAGGCCTGATGTTCTTGGTCTTCACCAGAGCAGACATGAGGGCCACACCACTCTCAGCAATGGCCTTGTGGAAGAGGTTCTTGGCCAAGGGAGATAGCACCTGGCAGGGGAGAAGAGAAGAGGATATTTCATGTTCACAGGAAAGGGCAGCCACTTTCTTCTTCTTTGCGACTTCTGTTATCTGCTCCTCTGCCCTGGACATTCCCCAGAAGACCTTGATGCTCTGTAAGCATGACACCACAGCTGCTCCTTTGTCCTGACCTGCATCCTGGGCTTCTTCCGGCCTATGCTCCCCAAGGGAAAGTCAGGGGAGGAAGCCTGTGCCCCTGGCTAGAACAGAATGGAAAGAATGTGGCAAGTCTAATCATGACAAACCAAAGTACTGAAAAGACAGCTTGATAAATTCAGTTCCAGCATTTACATTACTCATGATTTGTACTTAGACCAATGACCATGGAGAGGTGTAAAATTTCTCAGAATTTTCATGCTGTTTACATTCAAAAGTAACAAGATTCTAATATTACGAGTCAAATAAATAAAAAATGTTTCAGGCCAAATGTACATAGGAGACTCACAGTTGATATCTGGCCCGGGTAAAACAAATCATGAAACCAATTAAACAAATGAGTGATAAAATAAATGCACAAATAAATTTAAATAAGCTAAAAATTATAACAGTCTATCTGTAGTCATTAAAGCAAAATACAATATGGTTGTAATTTGAGAGGTAGCATGCTTGTCTAATAAAATAAGTCCTTTTTAAATAAAAGATGTAAAATCTTTCATTTCTTGCCAAATACCAAATAATCACAAATGCTAATATTGTAGAAATGTGTACAAATGCTATGGAAATATTTACTTATGTTATATTATTACATTAATGAAAAACTGATCCAATAAAAGAGAATGGATGCATGATGGAAAGAATACGTTGGGATGGCTTGATAGATGGATCACTGAAAGAGAGACACAGGGTTTTAGGAACAAACTGCAGAAATAGATGTCTAAAATCGCTCATGACCTTCCCTGGGTAGTAAGAATGTGGAGGAGATATTTCTACTTTGCATCGATGGGTTTATTTGAATTTTCTTTTTTCTGTATTTGAGAAAAGTACATGAACTCTTTGACTCTAAAACCAATACACACTGGAAAAACATAGAAATGGAGGGAATCCTGTGCTCAGTTCTGAGCTATATGACGTGTTTGTCATGGGCCCAGCCCCTCCTCCTATGGCCCGGCCCACACCCAGACCGCTGAGACCTCTCATGTCTGTGACCCATATGCCTTCTCCATCCATTTCCCTCTTCCTTCTTGTCACCAACTTCCCCAGCACATCTTGTATCTGAGGCTCAGAGACTCTTGTGATTCTCCTTGAGTGTGGAAGAGCCATCGGGGCACTTCAGAGAAGACCCTCCTGCCCTTTGAGTTTGAGTCTTCTCAATAGGTAGAATTGCCTCAAAGCCAAGTAATCACCACATAGCCAGCACATGCGCTCACCTTTTCATGTTTGCAGATCCTACCCAACATTCTTTCCCCTGAGAAGTGAGTTAGTTCTAATGTGAAAATAGTACCAAAGCCAACCAAGTGAGGAAGAGTGTGACCGTCACAGGCAGTACTGGAAATCCTTCTGAGCCAAGGATGAAGGCTCAGGCCTGAGATTCCTGGGGGTCAAGGAGGGTTTGGGATTTGGCTCCACATCATCAGAAGCTGTGTAGTGAGTACAGTTATACCTGCATTCTCTTTTGTAAGTAAAAGTCCCATCTGTGGATCAGCTGGTCTCCATGAGATTCCACAGCCCTATGAAGATTGGGTGTGAGGAACACTTACAAGCACAGACACACTTTCACCTCCTGATGATTCTCCAAAGATGGTCACAGAGCCTGGGTTCCCTCCAAAGTTGGCGATGTTGTCCTGGACCCAGTGCAGTGCAGCCACCTGGTCCAAGTGACCCCAGTTCCCACGGCTGTGTTCGTCCCCTGTGCTGGAAGAGAATGAGGTGGGGTAGGACACAGCTGTCAGGACAGG